ATTTTTTCCCATTTTCCCCTCTCATTTCCCTGCTTTTTTTCTCTTTTTTCTCTTCCTTTCCTCCATTTTTTCCCCTTTTATTTCTTATTTTTCCCTGATTTTTCCTGGCTTTTTTACCTGTTTTTTTCCCCACATTTTTCCCTTTTTTCCCCTTATTTTTCCCCCATTTTTTCTCTCATTTTCCCCTTATTTTCCCCGTTTTTCTCCCTTTTTTTCCCATTTTTTTTCCCATTTTTTTACTGATTTTTCCCCGATTTTTCCCAATTTTTTTCCCCCTTTTTTTTCCCTGATTTTTCCCATTTCTTCCCAACATTTTTTTCCCAATTTCTCCCGTTTTTCCCCCATTTTTCCCCCATTTTTCCCCTGATTTTTCCCATTTTTTTCCCTTATTTTCCCCTCATTTTCCCACTGTTTTTCCCCCACTTTCCCATCGTTTTATTCCCGGATTTTATCCCCACCTGGACGAGTTTGTCGATGCCGAGGGCGCGGTCGAGCTCCGCCAGCTCCGTCTCGTCCTTCCCGCTCAGGAAATTCCTTTTCCTCCCTTTTTCCCATTTATTTCCCATTTTTCCCCATTTATTTCCCAGGTTTTTTTCTCTTATTTTCCCCATTTTTCCCTGTTTTTCCCATGTTCTTTCCCATTTATTTCCCTGGGTTTTTTCTCTCTTTTTCCCCCATTTTCCCCCATTTTTTCTCTAATTTTCCCCTTATTTTCCCCGTTTTTCTCGCATTTTTTCCCATGTTTTTTTTCCCATTTATTTCCCTGGGTTTTTTCTCTCTTTTTCCCCCATTTTCCCCCATTTTTTCTCTAATTTTCCCCTTATTTTCCCCGTTTTTCTCGCATTTTTTCCCATGTTTTTTTTCCCATTTATTTCCCTGGGTTTTTTCTCTCTTTTTCCCCCATTTTCCCCCATTTTTTCTCTAATTTTCCCATTATTTTCCCCGTTTTTCTCCCTTTTTTCCCCTTATTTTCCCCGTTTTTCTCCCATTTTTTCCCATGTTTTTTTTCCCATTTATTTCCCATTTTCCCCTCTCATTTCCCTGCTTTTTTTCTCTTTTTTCTCTTCCTTTCCTCCATTTTTTCCCCTTTTATTTCTTATTTTTCCCTGATTTTTCCTGGCTTTTTTACCTGTTTTTTTCCCCACATTTTTCCCTTTTTTCCCCTTATTTTTCCCCCATTTTTTCTCTCATTTTCCCCTTATTTTCCCCGTTTTTCTCCCTTTTTTTCCCATTTTTTTTCCCCATTTTTTCCCATTTTCCCCTCTCATTTCCCTGGGTTTTTTTCTCTTTTTTCTCTTCCTTTCCTCCATTTTTTCCCCTTTTTTTCCCCATTTTTCCCTGATTTTTCCCGGTTTTTTTTCCTGGATTTTTCCCCTTTTTCCCCCACTTTCCCATCGTTTTATTCCCGGATTTTATCCCCACCTGGACGAGTTTGTCGATGCCGAGGGCGCGGTCGAGCTCCGCCAGCTCCGTCTCGTCCTTCCCGCTCAGGAAATTCCTTTTCCTCCCTTTTTCCTTTCCCTTCCCCTCTTTTCCTTCTTCCTTCCTTTTTCCCATTTCTCTCCCATTTTTCCCCTTTTATTTCCCTGGGTTTTTTCCTCTTTTTTTCACTTTTTTTCCCCTTTTTTTCCCCACATTTTTCCCTTTTTTTCCCTTATTTTTCCCCCATTTTTTCCCATGTTTTTTCCCATTTCTTCCCACCAATTTTTTCCCATTTTCCCCCATTTCTTCCTCATTTTCCCATTTTTTCCCTGTATTTTCCTCCATTTTTCCTTGTTTTTTCCCCACTTTTTCCCTATTTTTTTCCCCCTTTTCTTTCCTTTTACCCTTTTTTTCCCCCTTTTCTTTCCTTTTACCCTTTTTTTCCCCCTTTTCTTTCCTTTTACCCTTTTTTTCCCCCTTTTCTTTCCTTTTACCCTTTTTTTCCCCACATTTTTCCCTTTTTTTCCCTTATTTTTCCCCCATTTTTTCCCATGTTTTTTCCCATTTCTTCCCACCAATTTTTTCCCATTTTCCCCCATTTCTTCCTCATTTTCCCATTTTTTCCCTGTATTTTCCTCCATTTTTCCTTGTTTTTTCCCCACTTTTTCCCTATTTTTTTCCCCATTTTCCCCCCTTTTCTTTCCTTTTACCCTTTTTTTCCCCATTTTTCCTCATTTTTTTCTCATTTTTTTCTTATTTTTCCCATTTTTCCCCTTTTTTCCCTCCATATTTTTCCCATTTTTTTCCTTATTCTCCCCCCATTTTTTCCCCTGATTTTTCCCATTTTTCCCCCATTTTTTCCCATTTTTTCTCCCATTTTCCCCTTATTTTCCCCATTTTTCTCCCTTTTTTTCCCATTTTTTTTCCCCATTTTTTCCCATTTTCCCCTCTCATTTCCCTGGGTTTTTTCTCTTTTTTCTCTTCCTTTCCTCCATTTTTTCCCCTTTTATTTCTTATTTTTCCCTGATTTTTCCTGGTTTTTTGCCTGGTTTTTTCCCCACATTTTTCCCTTTTTTTCCCTTATTTTTCCCCATTTTTTCTCTAATTTTCCCCTTATTTTCCCCGTTTTTCTCCCTTTTTTTCCCATTTTTTTTTCCCCATTTTTTCCCATTTTCCCCTCTCATTTCCCTGGGTTTTTTTCTCTTTTTTCTCTTCCTTTCCTCCATTTTTTCCCCTTTTTTTCCCCATTTTTCCCTGATTTTTCCCGGTTTTTTTTCCTGGATTTTTCCCCTTTTTCCCCCACTTTTCCATCGTTTTATTCCCGGATTTTATCCCCACCTGGACGAGTTTGTCGATGCCGAGGGCGCGGTCGAGCTCCGCCAGCTCCGTCTCGTCCTTCCCGCTCAGGAAATTGACCAACTGCTCCAGCAGCGCCTTCTCGTCGCTGCGGCCCTCGGCCGTGGTGGGCGGGCACAGCAGCTCGTCCAGGGGGCACGGCCTGCGGGGAAAACCGGGAATTCCTCCATGGAAAAAACGGGAATTCTCAGCGGGGAAAACCCGGGAATTCCCACCCGGGAATCCATCCCGCGGGAAATCCGAGCCGGAACGCGCAAAGGGAGCTGGGAAATGGTTCGGGAAGAGGAAAACAAAAAAAAAAAAAAAAATGGGAATTTCCACCTGAGAAAAATTGGGAATTCCGACGCTGGAAAAATGGGAATTCTCGCCAGGAAAAAATGGGAATTCCCAACCAGGAATCCTGGGAAAAAAATCCCGCGGGAAATCCGAGCCGGAACGCGCAAAGGGAGCTCGGAAGTGGCTCGGGAAGAGGAAAAAAAATGGGAATTTCCACCTGGAAAGCCGGGAATTTCCAGCTGGAAATGCGGGAATCCAGGAAGAATGGGAATCTGGGAATTCCAACCCACAAAAAACTGGGAATTCCCATCCGGAAATTTGGGAATCCGGGAAAAATCCCGCGGGAAATCCGAGCCAGAATCTGCAGAGAAAACTCGGAAGTGGCTCGGGAAGAGGAAAAAAAATGGGAATTTTTGCCAGGAAAAAATGGGAATTCCCCCATGGAAAAATGGGAATTCTCAGCGGGAAAATCCGGGAATTCCCACCCGGGAATCCTGGGAAAAAATCCCGCGGGAAATCCGAGCCGGAATCGCCAGAAGTGGCTCGGGAAGAGGGAAAAAAATGGGAATTTTTGCCTGGAAACCCTGGAATTCCCAGTTTTTTCCAATGGAAAAAATTCCAAACTGGCAAATTGCAAAAAAAAAGAAAAAAAAATTCCAATGGGAAAATTTCCAATGGGAAAAAATTCCCAAAGGAAAAATTTCCATGGAAGCAATTCCAATGGAAAAAATTCCAATGGAGGAAATTCCAATGGAGGAAATTCCAAGCTGGAACGGTTTGGGAAGAAGGAGAAAAATCCCGGGAATGGTTTGGGATGGAAATTCCCGCTGGAATTTTGGGAAGTGGTGGAAAAATCCTGGGAATTCCAGCCAGGAAAAATGGGAATCCAGGAAAAATGGGAATCTCGCAATTCCCACCCGGAAAACCGGGAATTCCCTCACGGAAATCTGGGAATTCCCACCTGGAAAAATGGGAATTCCTGGCTGGAATAGCTGGAATTCCAAAGGATTTTCCCAGGAGAATCAGTTTTTCCGGGAATCTGGAATTTTCCTGCTGGGAATGGAAAGAATTCCAAAGGGGAAGGAAATTCTGAGAGGAAAATTCCAAGGGGAAAATTTCCAAGGGGAAAATTCCCAAAGGGGAAAATTCCAACGGAAAGATTCCAACGGAAAAAATTCCAAAGGGGAAAAATTCCAAGGGGAAAATCCCAACGAAAAATTCCCAAAGGGGAAAATTCCACTGGAAGAATTCCAAAGAAAAAAATTCCAATCGGAGAATTCCTAAGGGGGGAAAATTCCAATGGAAAAAATTCCAATGGAAAGAATTCCAAGGGGAGAAATTCCAACAGGAAAATTCCGAAGGAAAAATTTCCAAGGGAAGAATTCCGAAGGGGGAAATTCCTAAAGGAAAAAAAATTCCAAAGCAAAAAAAAATTCCAAAGGAAAAAAAATTCCAAGGGGAAAATTCCAAAGGAAAAATCTCCAAGGGGAGGATTCCAAGGAAAAAAATTCCAATGGCGAAAAAATTCCAAGAGAAGAATTCCAAAGGAAAAAAAAATCCCGATGGAAAGAATTCCCAGGGGAGAATTTCCAAGGGGAAAAATTCCAAGAGGAGAATTTCCAAAGGGAAAAATTCCGAAGCGGAAAATTCCAAGGGGGAAAAATTCCGAAGCGGAAAATTTCCAATGGGAAACATTCCAAGGGGAAAAAATTCCCGAAATTCCAATGAAAAAAAATCCCAATGGAAAGAAATTTACCGGAAGGGAAAATTCCAAAGGGAAAATTCCAAAGGGGAAAAATTCCAAAGGGAAAAATTCCAAAGGGGGAATAAAAAAAAAAAAGAGAAAAAAAGCCGGGAACGATCCTTGGGATCGGAACTTTCCGGATTTTTTTGTTTCCCGGGAAAAAGAAAACCTTGGGAATGACTCACTCGTCCTTGGGCAGGGCCCCGCGGGGCAGCGCCGACGTTCCCGGATCCGCCCACGGCACCGGCTCCGCGATCCCCGCGATCCCCGCGATTCCCAAACCGGCCTCGGCCACGCCCAGCTCCAGCTCCGGAATTCCTGGAAAAAAGCGGAAGAAAAAAAGGGGAAAGGGGAAAAGGTCAGAGCTCGGAATTCCCAGAAATCCTCGGGATTCGCGGGAGGATGGGATGGGGAATTTCTTGGGATTCAAAGAATTGGGGAATTTGGGGTTTTCTGGGAGAATTTCAGGCAGAATTCCCGAATTTTAGGGGGTTTTTGGGTAGAATTCCCAAATTTTGGGTCTTTTTTTGGCCAGAATTCCCAATTTTTGGGGGTTTTTCCAAAATTCCCAAATTAGGGTTTTTTTTTGGGCAGAATTCCAAAAAATTTGGGGGGTTTTGGGCAGAATTCACAAATTTTGGTGGTTTTTTTGCCAAAATTCCCGAATTTTGGGGGTTTTTTGGCCAGAATTCCCAAATTTTGGGGGTTTTTCCAAAATTCCCAAATTAGGGGGTTTTTTTTTTTGGGCAGAATTCCAAAAATTTGGGGGGTTTTGGGCTGAATTCACAAATTTTGGGGTTTTGCCAAAATTCCCAAATTTTGGGGGTTTTTTGGTCAGAATTCCCAAATTTTGGGGTTTTTTTAGGTTGAAATTCCCAAATTTTGGGGTTTTTCCAAAATTCCCAAATTAGGGTTTTTTTTTGGCCAAAATTCTGAATTTTGGGTGGTTTTGGTCAGAATTCCCAAATTTTGGGTGATTTTGGTCAGAATTCCCAAATTTTGGTGTTTTTTTTGCCAAAATTCCCGAATTTTGGGGGTTTTTTGGCCAGAATTCCCAAATTTTTGGGGTTTTTCCAAAATTCCCAAATTAGGGGGTTTTTTTTTTTGGGCAGAATTCCAAAAATTTGGGGGGTTTTGGGCAGAATTCCCAAATTTTGGGGTTTTGCCAAAATTCCCAAATTTTGGGGTTTTTTTGGTCAGAATTCCCAAATTTTGGTGGTTTTTTTTAGGTTGAAATTCCCAATTTTGGGGGGTTTTTCCAAAATTCCCAAATTAGGGGAGTTTTTTTGGCAGAATTCCAAAAATTTGGGGGGTTTTGGGCAGAATTCCCAAATTTTGGTGGTTTTTTTGCCAAAATTCCCGAATTTTAGGGGTTTTTGATCAAAATTCCTGAATGTTGGGGTTTTTTTTGCCAAAATTCCCAAATTTTAGAGGTTTTTTGGGCAGAATTCCCAAATTTTGGGTTGTTTTGGGCAGAATTCCCGAATTTGCTTTCTTTTTTTGAACAGAATTCCCAAATTTTGGTGGTTTTTTTGCCAAAATTCCTGAATTTTGGGGGTTTTTGATCAGAATTCCTGAATTTTGGGGTTTTTTTGGCCAAAATTCCCAAATTTTGTGTGATTTTGGTCAGAATTCCCAAATTTTGGTGGTTTTTTTTGCCAAAATTCCCGAATTTTGGGTGGTTTTGGTCAGAATTCCCAAATTTTGGGTTTTTTTGGGGCAGAATTCCAAAGTTGTTTTTTTCTCTCCGAAGTTTTCATTGGAATTCCATCCCAAATCCGGAATTTCCTGGAATTCCTGGCCAGAAATCTGGGAATTCACAGGAAAACTCCAGGAATTCCTGGGACTTTTCCCAGAATTCCCGTTTTTCCACCGATGGGTTGGGAAGGGGGGGGGGGGGGGGGA